CGATCTCCATCCCGGAGCGGCACTCGAACGGTGATTTCCAAAATTTGGCACAAAAAACACTCACTCGCGGTTTTAAAATTTTTTTCGGACACTCCCGAACCACGTGTTGTCAACTATTAAAATGAATTTTTAATTTTTAATAATACGATCGCGGTTTTAAGTAATACGAACACTCCCGATATGAAAAAAAATTATTTCAATAAAAATCAATTTACAAAATAGAAAATTTAAAAAATATTTCACTCGATCGCGGGTTTAAAACAGACGAGCACTACCGAAATGTGAAATTCACTAATGTAAAAAATTAAATAATTTCGCGAACACGTGGTTATCAGGACGAAGATACTTTTCCAAAATGTCTGACCGACGCGACGCAATTAAAGTGTTCTCCCACACCCCAGTTTGATGCAATGAATTTATAACCACGTGGTCGTACGAAAATTAGACGCGCTAGGAGAATTTCGAATTTTCCACCAATCACATGAAAGGAAAATAATCGCGCAATAGAGGGGGTAGAAACGCTTCTCTGTTTTTCTTTCTCTCTCTCACACTTTTAATTTCTCTTATTTTATTTTATAATTAAATATTAAAATATTGAAAAAATAAAAAATAATTTTCTATTTTCAAATAAAATGTATTATAAAAATAATATAATAATAATCGAAAATATACAAAAAAAAAATTTATTCCATTTAAAGTGTCACATGATAAGGTAAAGAAATATTTGCCACAATTTTGATTGGTTGAATTCTACAAATCTAACGCACGTAACTGAACTCAGAAAAAAACAGGTGCGTCTGATTTTTGTAAGACCACGTGATTTTAAAATCAGTGCAAAAAATGAAATTAATATTTAGATAATAATGAATCAAAAATTAAATACGTCACAAAAACTTTTGTACTATATGTGACGCTCGACGAGAGAAAGGAGCTTACGTCAAAACAAAAAAATTTTTAGGTTATGATAATTATTTAGTTCGTGGCATATGGTGTATACATTGTTTAAAGTATTCTATAAAATTATAGAAGCTAAAATAATCAGTTTCTATAAATTTTTTTTTAAAAATGAATTTTAAGTTATTTTTTTACTTTCATATACGACAACAATAAGTATTAAGCCAATTTCAGAAGTTCTTAATTTTTAACTGTGACATTTTGGAGAATAATCCCCCTTTATATATATGTGTGTACAGTATATATGTATAATCCAGTGTGAATTAGAGACTATAGGAATTAGCCAAGAACAAGCTGATGGTCAACCCGCAAGCTCAACCACAAGGTAAAGATTCCGAAGTAGAGATTAACTCCTTGACGCATTCACGCATATTCCCAAAAGTCTCGCCAGTTGAAAATTTCTCCCAAGTAAGAAAATGTATTTTATATCTTCTATTAATTTCAATAAACTCATTTAATTAACATCGCATTGTTTATTATATTTTAATCTCGTTTTTCGAGATTACACATTGTAGTTCCTTATACTTCCGCCAGGCGACACCACACGTTTAAAGTTAAGAATGGAAGAAACTACTTTCCTATCTATATTATTCGCTATGTACTCATACATAAAGGCCTAAGCAGAATAGAAACGTAACGTAACGCAATCGTAAACGGAAGAATAGAGAAGGATAGTCATATGTTGTTGTTCTTATCTTACTAATTCTTTCGTTTTGCGATTACGATTCCGGTTACGTTTCTATTGTGCTTAGACCTTTAAGTTTGTCCGTGGCACACGATATTATTAAAGCTCGCAAGAAATAATTAATACACGGAGAGAAATTTCTCACCTATTTTCGTATGAAAACTATTTACTCATTTAGTAAAACAACTACTGCGACATTAATAGCATAAAATTTATATCAATACCACTCTTGGACATACTAAAATAGTTTGGGTTGTTCCCAAGAGATAAAGTGTTGTTGATTCTTCCATATTAGTAGAAATTTTATGGTCTTGTATTGAATTGCTATACAAATAATTATTATTATACTAACTAGCGATGTAGTCCTCGCTCGCTAACGCTTGCTCGGTTATAGTTGTACTTATTTTTGTTTACTTAATGTAGTTTATGAATATTATATATATAATTTATATTTTAAATTAATATCTTATTAATATTGTATAAAATTTATCTTAATTTTGATCAGTATCATTGAAGAAAGAAATGAAAATTGTTAAATATTAGATGTTATTTTTATTATAATTCTGACAACAATCTTCTATTATATTAAATTAACAAATTTCCAAAAACGACACCGACCCCGTGACCTCGACACCGTCCTTGGAAAATCTATTTTCACTTATTTTCAAATAAATTAAAATACTTTGCTATATGCTTTTAGAAAATCTTACATACTTTTTTTTGTAACATGTTTTTTTAATTTTAACCCGAAAAAGGGTTATTTTGCAACATAAAGACAATAATATAAAATTATAATAATTGATTAATAACATCACTAGATGTTTCGTTTTAAATTAAGAAATGTTAAAATTATTAAATAAAAACATTTGATTTTAATGACACTTAAAATTAAGACACAATATTATAGGTTACTAACTAAAAATTGAAAAAACAACAATAAATAATAAAAAATAATAATAAAAAATTGAAAAAATCAAAAAATTCTTAAAAAATTGCAAAATAACCCTTTTTCGGGTTAAAATTGAAAAAAGATGTTACATAAAAATAGTTTGTAAGATTTTCTAAAAGCATATATGCAAAGTATTTGGATTTATTTGAAAATAATTGAAAATAGATTTTTCAAGGACGGTGTCGAGGTCACGGGGTCGGTGTCGTTTTTCGAAATTTGTTAAGTTAATATAATAGAAGATGTTTCGTTTTAAATTAAGAAATGTTAAAATTATTAAGTTAAAAACATTTGATTTTAATGACACTTAAAATTAGACAAAATATTATAGGTTACTAACTAAAAATTGAAAAAACAACAATAAATAATAAAAAATAATAATAAAAAATTGAAAAAATCAAAAAATTCTTAAAAAATTGCAAAATAACCCCTCTTCGGGTTAAAATTGAAAAAAGATGTTACATAAAAATAGTTTGTAAGATTTTCTAAAAGCATATATGCAAAGTATTTGGATTTATTTGAAAATAATTGAAAATAGATTTTTCAAGGACGGTGTCGAGGTCACGGGGTCGGTGTCGTTTTTCGAAATTTGTTAACTTAATATAATAGAAGATTATTAGTAACTTTTACTAACAATTAGTAAAATTTAACTAATTCTAAAGCAAAAAGTGAGTCACTAATTTAAATTAGTAAACATTTTTACTAATTCAGATTTAGAGAGTAACGCAAGAGCCGTCTAGCTATTTTTTGCTAGAACTAAAATCCTTTTCATTAATTTTTCTCCTAATTATACAAAAAAACAAGAAACGTACGTTTTTTTCGATAAAAAAAAGAAATCAATATTTATAGAGGAAGTTTTTTTTAAAGTTTTGAATTTAGAACTTGAATGAAATCGCGTGACAAAGTGATTTGATTATTACTATATATATATATACGAGTACTATTCTTACAGTGCTGACATTGCAGACATGTTACAACTCTTTTATTGTTCCCAACTTCTTTTGTGTGAGAGTTCATTTCAAGAAATCGTTAAGTGTCACCGATTTCAAGTATATAGAAGAAATGCATTTATTTTCCATGAATATTATTTTTAAAAAAATAGTATTTTTTTCAAATAAAAAGAAAATTTATAACTTTTCATCATGATATAAATTTCCATTTTTTTTTGTTTTAAAATTCGTAAAAATTTAATTAACATGGAAAATTGTCGACCAAAGGGCTCTTTTTAGTCAAGTTTCTTCAAAAACTTTAATTGCTCTCGTTTTTTATCGTATAAAATCGCATTAAATACCAATTTATTAGAGAGCTCTTTTAAAGTTCTTCGATTTATCACAAACCAGATGCTGAGTCTCCAGTCTTTCGACAAACCACTATTCTAATTTGTGAAACTGTTACAAAAAAACTTTATTTAAAAAAAAATTAAAAATTTACAAAATAAAATAAATTCATGAAATGTAATTAAATTATTTATAATAAATTTTAAAAAATACTAATTGGATTTTAAAAGGACCTTAATTTGTTTAGAATAACAGCGTTTTTTGATTTTGTGGCCTTTGGTCCAAAAAAAATAAAATAATTTATTTCATATTAAAGATGTGTTTATTATTCTCCAATGTCTAATGCATTTTCGCCATATAACATGGCTCATCAGGACTACAGAAAAAACATGTGTTTCATTATAATAAATAGGACGATAACAACATTTTCAATAACAGAAAAAACAATGGACACAGAACTTACCACATTACTATTGGAATTTATAGTTTAAATTTTGAAAAAATATATGACATGTGGTATTTTTACCAAAGGCCACAAAATCAAATAACGCTGTTATTAAAAAATACTTACAAACAGGAACTGATTTTTTTATGACAATCTTATAATAGAAGAGAAGAGCTTGTGCGAAATAAACTTTTTTGATTTAATATACTTTGATGTTTTTACGAAAGATTCTAAAATAGAGAAGAGGAGAAATGAAAGTTAATTCCATAACTTGAGTTTCATATATAATAAGTTGTTCCTTGAAAATATTGCTCGACTTGATTCGCGCACGTGTTTCTCCAAACAATATTCGCACAAAGCTCAGTTTCTCAGAAATAGCTACTTCTTCCAGTCATAAATCACATTTTCCAGTTCTAAGCGCGCAAAATAATTTCATTCTCTTGATGAAAACTGTATATATAAGTATACATATATTACCAACTCGTTTTTACCCTCTATTAAACCATCTTCTCACTAAACAAATTTCATTCCACTTCAGGTGGTAAATTTAATAAGCATTTGTCTTTTTTTCATTAAATAAATATTATTTTAATTACCATAGTCACTATAATAAATTATATACATTTCAATAAATATATTAATTTTATAAAATATGTTTCAATTTACAAAAAAAAAATCAGAGTAAAAAAGAAGTTACGTTTTTCATAAATGGATTTTATATTAAGGTTCTTCCAAGTGCTTTTTATGAGAAAAACATATTTGACTTTTCTAAAAGGCGGGACGTTAACTTTTTGATGAAATTAGACAGAAATTGGTGGCAGTGATAAAAGAAAAGCAAAAAAAAAAAAAGTTTTTTATTTCAACTCTCCTGAGTAAAGTTTGCGTCCACGAAAGACAAACTTTGGAAGAGTTTTTTTTTTTTTTTTCTTTTTTTTTGCTGATGACTGAAACCTTTAGACTAGTGGAGAATTTCAGTTACAATCAATTTCAAGGAACACATGGCAACTGTTCGTAATTCAAGCACATTCCCACATAGTCCTCGAGCGAAGTTCCAGTATCTTCACCAGGACCAAATGCCACTCTTATATGAAATGGAGACGCTGAAGTTTCAACACGACAATTTCCATCTGCATCGAATTCATCAGGATTACATAGCGAAGTTCCACAATGTTCAAGGTCACAGAATCCGGATCCACGATTTCCAGGCTAACCATATAAATACCAAATACTATTATTTATTATCGTTAATTAAATAATTTTTAATTCTTTAACAAAATTAATTAAACAAATAACAAAAAATGTGCTATAATTAGTATAATTATCAACAAAATCTAATTAAACAATATATTCAAAAAACCAGACACCAATACAATAATATAGTTTAAAAAAAAAAACAGCCGGAATAAAAACTAAAAACAGAAAGATATAATGTCCAAGAGATAACGAATATCCAGTCAATTGGGGTAAGCTTCCCTAAAGCTTCTTTCACTTTTAATCTCATTAGCGAATATAATTAACATCGAACAAAACTCTACGGGTATAATTATTCCTTTAATCTCAATTGCGACATAAATTTTGTGGAACGTAAAATATTTTCTTTTTTATACTGTGTTATAACATCAAATTATATACCACTTCGTGTAAAGGTTATATAATTATTTTTTTTTCTTTTTAATGAAAAGACGAGATGAAAATTTTTATGTCACTTTTCGACTCTTCTAAAAAAAAAGAAAAGAAAAAAAATTCTCCATGTCCAAAAGGAACTTGTAATATATTTACTAAAATATAAACTATAAAAATAATTATACATTTTTAAATTGCAATTTTTTTGACAAAGAATATTTTTTTATATTATGATAATAAAATCTAAAGAAATAGTTTTATGAGAAAATTTTAATCAATTTTTAACCAGGATATTGAATGTTAAAAATTTAATGATTCTTTCGCGTAATTATAAATTCTAAAGCTATACATCATAAATTATTTTTCTTCAGAGAAGTAAAATTTTAGATACATTAAAAGTGACAGCTAATCAATATATAGAAGAATATTATTAATTGAGTTTGCTTCATAAAATATTTTATAATTTTGTAATTTAATAGTAAGTGTTATTAAATAACATTAAATAGCCGTAGTTATTAATTAAAAACTTAAAAAAATCTGTTATTTTTTTTTTTTACTTTTTGTTCATAGTAAGAATTTCAGTTCATATTTTGAAGTCGAGAGATGGCAAAAGCAATTATTTGTATAGAAATTTAGAATATGTCGTTATAACCAGACGAATTTTATCAATTCGTCGTTATAAGCAAAGTCGTAATAATATTACAGCATCCGAATAGGAACCTATATATATAGAAAGATAGATAATTTTATTGCGAACACGATGATATAAGGTCACTTGTTTTGTGGTTATGGTTCATCTTCCCTGATACGCATGCGTCACAGTTGCCAATGATCGTATCGAAAAGCAACTGCGCTTGCGCCACGATAACTCTCTCATTGGTAAGAAATAGCGCGCTTATATAAAATATGCTTTTATTAAAAGAAAATATTAAAGAAATATAAAAATGTTTACTGTTAAATTGATTGTTTTTTTTAAACGCTCAATATTAATTTTCTTAACGTCTATATAATAAATATAAAAATGTTTTATATAATTACCGTAATAAATTCTTCAAAGTCACAGGGAATGAGTACTCTGTTCCTACAGCGTTGAATTATTGTTGGTTCTGGTCCAGTGCCAGAGCCCTCGACATCCATGTTAACGGATGTATCATTCCGCCTGAATCGCGGGGGGCCAATTCGAAACGAATCGGATGTACATGGTGCGTAGGAAATGCTACACATACCAATTTTTTGTTTCACACAAATCAAATAATCTTGTGATGCCAAAAATCTTCCATTTGGCAAATAATTGAGTGTCTTTAATATTCCATTTATATCCTCAAAATATTGAAGACATCCAGCGGGAGCACGTTGAGCAAACGGAAGTTGAACAATTCGCATTTCCCACATCCGTGATTGAAGTCCACGCGGTAACCGGAAGTCAATGGACATTGTACCATCGCTTATGTCTGTGTAAACTAGAAAACAGAGAAACGTCAGCTCTCATATACATAGATATATATATATACATATACTATACTCCAGGGGACAGCAACGATCAATCAAATTTGAATTCATCACTGATAACCGCACACGAGCTTCATCAAGTGAATTTACAATTAAACTCATAGAAATTATACGCGCTTTAATCATTACTATAATTATATTTATAACCTTATTTAACATAAATATAAAATAAATAAATTGACAATATATTTTTTTTAGTTGCCAAAAAAATACATCCAATTGCATAAATGCTCTCCTTCCGGTTTGACGGCATTTTGAATAGTCGTGACATTTCTATAATAATTTTATTAGTTCATGGCATATGGTGTATGCATCCACCATAAACTAATAAAATTATTATAGAAGTGTCACGACTTTTCAAAACGCTGTCAAACCGGAAGTGCAGCATTTATGCAATTGAATGTTAAATTAAAAAGAAAATATATTTTTTATTTCTATTTATCAGAATAACCTACAATATGTAGATGGTTAAAAAATTAACAAGATGGTAAAAAATTTGAAAAATAAAAATATAAAAATTACCGACACAGAAATCTACCTTACCGACTGATGGTAAAACAGTTTTTGAAAAATATATAAATTACCGACACCGAAATCTACGTTACCATCAGTCGGTAAGAGAGATTTCTATGTTGGTAATTTTTTATATTTTCGTTTTTCAAAAAACTGTTTTACCATCAGTCGGTATGGTAGATTTCTGAGTCGGTAATTTTTACATTTTTATGTTTCAAAAAAAATTTTCACTCTAAATGAAATTTTTTTTGGATATAGCGCTTCCTCTAATATATCGGATACCCGCTTACATCGAATATTTTTCCATGTCCCTGGAAATCCAATATACATGGGTTTTACTGTAGAATAAATTTTCCCTTTATTATTATTATTTTACAAAAAAAAAATAAAACTTGAAGAAAATAAATTTTGTTGGCAAGTAAAAATTTCGTGTGGAAAAAAGCTGTTTTCTAGAAATTAATGGAAATAAGAAATGTCTCTTATGTTTATTTTTCTTGAGATGTCGTGATATTACTCTCAGTCCTTTATTACCTGCCTTTATGCTTTTCTTACTTTCGTGATTAGTTACTTCCTGCATTGCATTGCAATTTTTTTTTTTTTTTTTTTTTTTTTGCAAAAAAAATATTGCTTCATTTGTTACATCTACTATTTTGCATACACTTTTGCATTTTATTTACATTTAAAATAAAATGTTACATTTAATCTGTACAAATATTTTCCCTATTTATCATTAAAAAAAAAAAAAAAAAATTAAGTCAAAGCAAAAATAAAAAGAAGAGTGAAATTTTTTAATATAGAAAAAATGTCATGCAATATAGCGTAATGAGATTTTTAACGTGGTTCCTTAGTATATAAAATAGTATAAAGAATTTTCATGTTATGAAAATATATGATGGATTATAAAAATGTCAGTAAATTAAAAAAAAAAAAAAAATATTTCTCAAATATTGGAGAAGACCGTTAAATTTTTACACATAAATAGTCAAGAGTTTTATATGTTTGTATATTGAAGTTAGACTTGTTTTGGAGAAAAGTAAATTGTGTGTATATATATGTCCGCATAGGTCTAGAATTTGACATGTGGTTTCCTGTATAGAAGATCAAAGGAGTTTCTAAAGCTTCCTAACTAGTTATGCTGCAGTGACAATCTCGTTAGACGAAAAAGGATGAAGGAAAATTACTCTCCAAGGTACAATCGTATTTGTCTATTACGAACGGTAATTTTCCTACCTTCATCCAATTTTTTTTTCCTTCCTCCCATAGAACATTTAATTAAGATTTCCAATTTTTTTTTAAACATTTTTAGTAATATCACGAAAAAGAATATTCCAATTAAATATTTCGAAGTAAAAAAAAGAAATTAAAAAAGAAAAGTTTAACAATTTAAAATACACTTAACGCATTTCGTGCAAAAAGAGAGTGGGGTTGAGAGTTCAGTGATTGGACATTCTCACTCTACCAAAGTTGCGCGCGCATTATTCTCATCTGAGTTATCGACAAACTATAACCTAAAGTGACGCTATTTGAGGTCATCGTTATATCATAAATAATTTAGCGTTTGATAAAAAATATAAATAAATAATAAGTCTTTCAAAAATACTTACTATGCTGACCACTGTTCCAGCCGCACAATTTTAAACTCTTATTTCCACTTCTTATCTGAAATAAGAATAATTTTTACCTACTCAATCTTTATTAATACTAAATTAAAATTAAAACTATCCAATAATCAAAGATGATTATTAAAATTTCCTATAAGACATAAATAATTTTAATTAAACTAAACGAAATCTACAAAGAACTCTTTGATTTCATTTAATAAATTATTTGAAATTGATTTCCATTTAATTAAAATTTTTTTTATTATCTAAAAAATTTACCTCCATGAAGTCCTCATCACAAATACCAGTTCTTCTATTAGGTTGTCCCTGAGAAAATAAAGAGTAAATTTTTTAAAATGAAATATCATTTAATAACCAGCTAATTTTTTAAAAAATTTTCTTATTTAAAAAATGAAACTATATGCACAAAAAACAAGGATGAAAAGAGAAAACAAAAGCAATGTTAACATTAGAGAATTTAATTAATTCAAGATAAATTATATTATTTTAGAGGAAAATGTTTCCTGAATTATTTAAATTACATTATAATGTTTAAAAATGACAAAAAAAAATTATAAATGCTATATAATATTTTGAGAAAAAAAAATAGTTTTAATTATTTCAGTGTAATTAAATAATTAGAGAAAGTCCACAATGGCACATCTGTGACCCCTCTCTGAAAGGTCAAACTTTATATACGAAAATCCTTTTGTCTTTCATTGCGCAATTGTTCTCATGTTTCTCCGTATACTGAAGACGTACACCTACTAAAACAGTTACAGTTCACAATTATTGTGAAACAAGTTTCGTAGCAGTAAACTGTCCAACCTGAGTATTTAATTTCATTTCCATTTTAATTGCAAAAAATAATATTTCATATTCTAAGTACTTTCCGCTATATTCTCTAATGACCCTCAAAAAAATTTTCAAATTTTTTTTTTTTTTTATTAAAATAGAAAAAAAATCCAACTTCTCATATGAATAATTGTGCAGTTTTTGAGGTGAAATTGCATTGGCTCGCTTCCCACCTTGTTTCACTGTAAATTTCTCATACCAAAATCGTCCCAACCTAAACTCGCTCGAGGCACACTCACAGACTGTGCAAGTTAAACTTTTCCCATCTTAAAATATATAGTACATTTTAAATGTTATCAAGGAAGCCGCATGGTTTATAATGCTCTTATGAATATGTCTTCTTCTTGCTGGCAAGGAAACGATAGACTGTGAAATTGCTCTCTTTTGTAATTTATATGATAACTTTCTAACAGCATGCAATTTAAATATGATAATGAGCCAAAAATTCTTTACAAAGGAAAAAAAAATGAAAGTTTCTTTAAAAAATTACAATAGGGTATAAAAGGGTATCGTTTATGACCACTGCACCAGTTGTGGATACTTTCAGATTAATGTTGGTATTATTCCCAAAAATTACTATTAAAGAAAAACAGTAAAAGTAACGAGATCTTTTTTTTGTAAATAAAAAAAAAAATTTTGTTATCGCAATAAAATTAGGGGTTTTTTTTTTTTAAGCAAGGTGATAGGAAATGGTTGACAGATGTGACCTTTGACGTTAACACATGCAAACGAACTTAATAGAGTCAGGGAATGATATAGGATGCTGTTACCTGATGGAAACATGCAGTGTGAGTGTGTATGTATAACTTTTCGGTTGTCAGAGAGAAACCACCGTATCGCTAGTAGGTTAACTTAACTTTATTGAACCTATCAAATTCTAGCTACTACGCTACTATGTCCAAGTCCATTTGAATTAAAATTCTTTTACCGCTTTTCCATGTTTCTTCAAATTAAAATTCAAGTTTTGTCCAACGACATTTTGAAAAATCGTGACACTTCTATAATAATTTTATTAGTTTATGACATATACATTGGTTACGAACTAATCAAATTATTATAAAAGTGTCACGAATTTTCAAAATGTCGTCGGACAGCATTCATGCAATTAGGTTGTAAAAACTAAATTGTTTCCCAGTGGGCAAAAAACGTTCTTAAAACATTGGAAAAAATTCTTAAAATGTTTTTAGAACGAACATGGAACCCACTGGGTTCCTAAGCGTCCCTTACGATGGCGCCAGTGTAGCGCCCGCGAATTTTAAATTACTAAAATTCCTAATTTTAATAAATGTTTAGAAATTCCAAAGGTTTTTGTAAAATGAAGAAGCATAAAATGTTAATCAATATTAGATGTGATTTTAAGAAAATAAATTCGAATAAATAATCTCCACCGCTAAAGATGAATGTCTTACTATGTTAAAATGTAGAAAGTCAATCCTTAGTTGGCTGATTTGTTGCTCGATTTTCCTGATGGTCACTGTACAATTCATAGGCTGATCGATGAGGTTCGGGAATCCTGGACTGGTAACGTAGGTCAGATTATTCAGCACCTCTCCACCGCAACCAGTCGTGACTTATTGGGAAAAGAAATAATTAAATAAATATCACTAATGCAATATACGATTGACCTAAATATTCCCCTATGCTCGCATATAAATGTCAATGTAACTAAATATAATATGTATATATATGTGAATTGACAATTTTAGAGAGTGCACTTTGGTCAACGATTGAGGATTCTATATATATATAAGGCTTCGCATAGTACTGTTCAAAATTCAAGTCCCGATAACGAGTTTCCATTCAGTAACTTCCCAGCTTTAGTTGGTCCTTTATTCAGTCAAGCTCCCTAGCTGAATGTTTGCACGAGCTTCTCGTATGCGAAACAACTCAACCCTGTGAAAAATTCAGTAGCTCTCTCTCTCTCTCTCTCTCTCTCTCTCTCTCTCTCTCTCTCTCTCTCTCTCTCTCTTTTCTCCCTTCAAAAGTCCCTTACTCCTCTATAACTTTCCCCTTAACTGACATATATCCTTAAAGAGAAATTATATATACCCAAATTTCAATTTCGAAAACTAATTAATTAATTCTCAAAATTCCGAAAACCAATAATTAACTTTAAATATTATTTAGAAAAAAAAATGTAACGATTATATTATTATCAGTGTAGATGACTAAAACCAGGACATTGCATGTCAAGAAAAACATGAAACATATCTGGGACACTTGTTTACTGCAAAATTTGAAAACATGCAAATGTAATTATTCGAATAATTAATTTTAAATACTTCAGAAGAAAACCTATCCTGCAAATATTTACTGAAAACTAAATTTATTTTTTTTTTTTTTTATAAGCAATGAAATGACTCCAATGCGAGGATATTTTAACTAAACTTTTAATTAAAATTTTATATGTGAAACAAGATTATCCCTATATATATATAACTTTAAATAATAGAATAATACAATTTTTGCAAATACATCACCCTTTTGCGCATTTATATTCAAAAGTTTCAAAGAGTAACAAAAAGTTTTAATGAAATAGAATTTTTTTAAATTTCTTTTCTCTTAATACTTTTTTAAAAAGAATAATACTTTTTTTTTTGGTTATAAATGCTAATGATCTGAAAACATAAATAATTCAATGGAATTATAATCATGCCATATTTTCATAAATTTTAATTAATTTTTTTTTTTAAATAAATTTTTAACTTATATATATCGAATTTTTAATGTAAAGAATTTTTAAAACGACGATTTCGTTCGAAATTATAAATAACCGAACAAATAATCGACAGAAAGAATTCGGCGCGATTTTTAAAATTCACCAATCACGATTTTTTTTTTTACAATTTTTGATTGGTTAATTTTAAAATTCGCGCCGAATTCTGTCTGTCGATTTATTTGTTCAGTCATTTACAATTTCGGACAAATTCGGTACATAAAAAAGTAAAAATTCATTTAAAAAAGAAATTCTGTTAAATTCTAATTTGAAAAATAAAAATTAATCTAAAAAATGAAATTTTTTAAAATTAAAATTTATGATTTTTATAATGCGCCCCGAAAATAGAGGAGGGAAAAAATGAAATATGCAAAAGGTACGTCGAAAGGATATAAAAAATAAGAAGGTAGAAATAAGGAAATCAATAATAAATCCCTTGTCAAATACTTGGAAAGATTCCTATTTCTAGTCTCAAAGGACAAAACAAACTTTTTTCCAAAAGGTTTCAAGAAGGTTCCAATTACCTTAAAGTTTACATCACTGTTATATATATATAGATAAAGAAAAAGTGGATTTTTCCCAGCTGGATGAAAAGCAAATTTTTCCCCACAAAATATTATTTTTCATATATTTACCCAGAGGAAATTTATAATAGAGAGAAAATTGCTTTTGAGAATGCATACATTTCGAACATATGCGAATATATATATATATATATATATATATATATATATATATATATATATATATATATATATATATATACATAGTAATTCTACATTTCAAATAAAAATTATTTTCTAACTTTTATTACATTTTACGCTAAATATTTTTTTTTATTTCCAACTTTATAACAAATACGTATTATTATAAATATTAATATAAAAAAAAAATTTATAAATTTTATAAAATAAATCTTGAATAAAATGAAAGAAATTAATAAATTAAATTTTAATTAATTAAATTTTTTTCTATCAAATTAAAGTTAAAAAATAAAAATATTTTATTTTTTTACGAAAATAAGTTTAAATATTATAATTAATTTTCAATTTGAAAAATTGTATAAAAGTAAAAATTCGTGACACGTTCTTTTATTTGAACGTTAATTAACATTAAATGGAAATTAAAGTAATTATACATAAAAATGACGAATTTATAAAGTACATCGTAATGTTTTTTTTTTATATTTATTTAATTATTAATTCTGGGCACGTGATCGACTGGAAATTCCAGAAGGCAGGTTATAAGCAAGGTACCTCACTTATGTGGGACATAGAACCGAACTGAAAGGCAATTAAATAACTGTACACGCGAAAAGTAAGAGACGAGTTCTTCAGAGCAAAAATCTTTACTATATATATATAGCGCACTTTTCTGCGATTTTAAGCTTTTAAAAAATTTATATACAAAACACAAGAACCAGAGGCAAGTATTTTGTCAAGAAAAGAAGACGTTTTATATAAAGAAAAAAAAAAGAAAAAATCTTCAAAATTCTTGTTTTCTCGTACATTTTTTTTTTTATTATTTTTTCGAGAAATCTCCCGAGAGTTAAGTATGATTGACTTGAACTTTACTTGCTTGCCCAAATAACTTTTCATATTTTTTTTTTATTTCTCTAAAAATGCAGCATAGACCGAAGCCAAAGTTTTTCATGGCAAATATTTACAGTAATAAAGTGTTTTAAAAATACCAATTATTCACAAAATTTTGATACTCTCTTGATATTACTGAATGTAATAATTACGATTTTGTTTTCATAATCAAATAACTTTTTTCTCCAATACAAAACTGTGATCTTAATAAAAAAGATGCCAACGACTGTCACCAAACTCAATTGCGCTTGCGCAACTATAACTCTCTAATTGGTAGAAAAATAGGCGCTCTTATTTAAAAAGTAAAAAATCACTTATTTAAATTATTTTCAATACATCTTGTTACTAGATTATTTTCTTAAGGAAAAAAATATTATTTTCTTTATTTTTTAACATTTTCCAAGAAAAAAAAAATGTTAATAATAACAAAAAAAAACAAATTAGAAATTTTTAAAAAAATGTTTGAACTTACAAATGCAGCATACACCAAAGCCAAGTGCACAAGGGCCATGTGACTTTCCTTGTTGAATGCGACACTCATACGTGTTCATGCATATTCCCCGAAGTCGTTTATCTTCCGAGAGACATTCTTCCTCAACCGGAATAGGAAAAAAATTCAAAACTGTAACAAAAATAAAATATTTTTCTTATTTATTTAAATAAAAGAAGAAGAAGAAAAAAAAAGAGGTCAAATTTCATGGAGAAAAATCTCTTTTTTCAAAATTAAAGGACACTTATATATATCGATTGAAATATAAATCCCAACTTTTTGTTTGACGCTAAGTGATAATGGACAGAATGCTCGTATCACACGGGGCAAATATAGTGAGTTGCTTTCAAACTAAAACCTTTAGTGGGAGAATGTTTTCAATATATGGACAGTAGTCCAAAAAAAAAAAAAATAATAATTTTATGTCATATGACAATATTCGATTCTTTTATTGAGAAAAAATAATGCAATATATTTTTTTTTTATCATTCTTATTGTCACTGTAACAAATGGTAATGTAAACATTAATGTAGAGCAATGTAAACACTAATTAAAAAAAAAAAAAAAAAGAAAAAGCTGGAGAACAATGTTGAAAAGGTTTTTTTTTTTTTTTTTTTCCTCTTTTGAACTTTGTTCTCATCTACTGCTGACTCGACTCATTGAAGATCTGAGTTTATAAGTGGGTGTCGAGACTGAATTAGAATCTTAAAAATGTTCGCCATAATTCGCACCTCTTCTACTTTGTTTCGGTCTTTCGTATTTATATATTTAAAATCATCATTCGCGAATAAAATTTTATCGAGTGATTAATTGCGAAAGTTAGATATTTTTTTTATAGATAAAAAAATTTTATATATATATACACTTGTATGTATACAATATTATCAAATATCGCTATATATATATGTAATATAGAACTTGTTTCCCCTTGAGAAATTGTTCTTGAAATTTAGATTCATGAGCGACGACAAGCCTCAACTGAATAATTCCTTAGAGTACTTTATACTTTGGCGAGACATTTCAGCAAGGGAATCTGGCATTGCTTGAATATTTCCATGTAGCTTGAAAATTGCATTTAAAATTTGACGAAGTACCACAAAATGAGGATTGTGATTTTCTTAACATTATATTTTTCTCCGAAACTTTTAATTATCAAAAAAAAAAAAAAAAAAAACATGAAAAAAGTTGTTTTTTTAATATCAAAATTTTTATTATTATAAATTAAATGGATTTAGGGAAAATTAAATTTCAAACTTAAATTGTTATTCATTGTATATATACGTGTATAGATAGTGAATTATTCAAATATAAGTAATTAAAATTATATATTCACAAAGGTAGGATGATTCATCGGTATTGTATAGATGTGAAATTTGTATCTGCTTTCTGAATAGTTTAATTTAATTGATACTTGAACTCTAAAAGTCCTATATAGTGTGTTCCATGGCGTTTCACTTTCAGTAATTTCATTCAATTATAAAGTTAAATTGCCTCAGTTTAGAACTTTTATTGTAATAAAGTCATTAGTACCAACATATTACATATATTGACATTCAAAGGAAACGCTACTTGAAAGTTAATAATTAATTATTAATGTTTGAACATTTGATCATAACATATCTATATAGTTATAATATAATAATGGATTAAAAATTTTCTTTAATTTTTAATTCAAATTTTTTTTTTTTTCAAATATTTTTAGAGCAAACATATCCTTTGGTAATTAACTTTATACTCGTCTGTTAATTTATTAGATTGTAGATTTAAATTAAAGTTTTGATGTATATATATGAAAATGATGATTTTGATTTGAAAATCAAAAAGGATAGAGTTTATTGAACTGGAGGTCATAGGTTCAAATATACACCGTTATGAAAATTAATGTACAATATAAAAACATCAGAAAGATAAAATCATATAAATACTTGATAATAAAGCGATGTCCTATTTGATAAAAATGAAATCGCGACTCGTATATATACGCGCGCTGTATTTTACTTCAATATATATATATATATAATTTTCCGCTTTTATAATATAGAATCGATTTTTAATTAACGTTCTCTCGAGAATATACAATAAGTTATTTAAAATAAGAAAATAATATTCTAACAGAAATAACCAGTTTATTTAAAATTGTGTTTAACATTCACAAAAAAATTATTTTTATTTTTTTTGATTTCGTAGTTGGAAAATTATTTTCAGTTATAAAAATGTAATAATAAAGTTATTAGGTAACGTCTCTTTAAAAAAGACATATAATCCACACCCTAGATTAATAGAGTATCATTTCATGTTCTATTTATTCTAAAACTCGTAAATTCAGTCGTAAATCGTATTTGTTTTAGCTTTTTTTTTTAACGAGAGTTCTAAATGAAGAGTTTTTCTCTTACAAACTGAATCCCGAACACCAACTGTCGTGATAGGTGGCAAGGCAATTACTACGAGGCAGTGATCGACGAACGAGTAATTAGCAAAGTACACACATACAGTGGAGAGGGACTATAGATAGAAAGGGGGAGGGGGAGAAGTTTATTGAGGCGATTGAATACTCACCCCTTGCAAGTCGAGAACTAGAATCATTGGATTCTAAAATATTCGAATTCGACTCAAATTGAGAAGTGGACCAAAATTTAAATGAAGGCCACTGATAACTTGGTATTACAAGAGAAACGAAAATAAATGCACAAGTAACACACTCGTGATGATATTGTCTATAAGTAAATAATTCACGTTTTGACAAATTAAAAATCAAAAATATTATAAAACACCATGAGATCATGATCGAGAGACGTCACTGACCGATGTCCAAACCGCATCTCTTTTACTGGCAAACGTTATTGCTATTCGTGTATTCTCAAGGTCTACCCATCACGGAAGACCATAAGGAAACTGGGTGACCAGACCCCCTTCTCTTTTGCGAATCTTAAACTCATGAGAATAGTATACTGCTTCTGAATGCATTCATTGAAGTTTTATATATCTAACATAACATGCATTCTTTAATCTCGTAATAAAACATAAATATAACCTCAAAATAGACATTACATTTTATTGAATTTATTTTGTCAGGTAAAAAAATAATAGAGACATGCTGATTAATTTTATTTAAATTTTTTAAGAATTTTTGCATTTTCCAGGAAAACATTCTATTGTAAAAAATGGAATAAAATTGATTATTCTTAGTCTACTGCAATTTAGGTTCAATTGGTAGGTTTTTTTAAAGGTATTTTGAAGGTACAAAAGGTAAAAAAATAATAGAGACATGCTGATTAATTTTATTTGAATTTTTTAAGAATTTTTGCATTTTCCAGGAAAACATTCTATTCTAAAAAATGGAATAAAATTGATTATTCATAGTTTATTGCAATTTAGGTTCAATTGGTAGGTTTTTTTGAAGGTTATTACGTGTTTTGTTAAGGTAAAAAAAATAGAGACATGCTGATTAATTTTATTTGAATTTTTTTAAGAATTTTTGCATTTTCCAGGAAAACATTCTATTCTAAAAAATGGAATAAAATTCATTATTCTTAGTCTACTGCAATTTAGGTTCAATTGGTAGGTTTTTTTGAAGGTATTTTGAGGGTACAAAAGGTAAAAAAATAATAGAGACATGCTGATTAATTTTATTTGAATTTTTTAAGAATTTTTGCATTTTCCAGGAAAACATTCTATTCTAAAAAATGGAATAAAATTCATTATTCTTAGTTTATTGCAATTTAGGTTCAATTGGTAGGTTTTTTTGAAGGTATTTTGAAGGTACAAAAGGTAAAAAAATAATAGAGACATGCTGATTAATTTTATTTGAATTTTTTAAGAATTTTTACATTTTCCAGGAAAACATTCTATTCTAAAAAATGGAATAAAATTGATTATTCATAGTTTATTGCAATTTAGGTTCAATTGGTAGGTTTTTTTGAAGGTTATTACGTGTTTTGTTAAGGTAAAAAAAATAGAGACATGCTGATTAATTTTATTTGAATTTTTTTAAGAATTTTTGCATTTTCCAGGAAAACATTCTATTCTAAAAAATGGAATAAAATTCATTATTCTTAGTCTACTGCAATTTAGGTTCAATTGGTAGGTTTTTTTGAAGGTATTTTGAAGGTACAAAAGGTAAAAAAATAATAGAGACATGCTGATTAATTTTATTTGAATTTTTTAAGAATTTTTGCATTTTCCAGGAAAACATTCTATTCTAAAAAATGGAATAAAATTCATTATTCTTAGTTTATTGCAATTTAGGTTCAATTGGTAGGTTTTTTTGAAGGTATTTTGAAGGTACAGAAGGTAAAAAAATAATAGAGACATGCTGATTAATTTTATTTGAATTTTTTAAGAATTTTTGCATTTTCCAGGAAAACATTCTATTCTAAAAAATGGAATAAAATTGATTATTCATAGTTTATTGCAATTTAGGTTCAATTGGTAGGTTTTTTTGAAGGTTATTACGTGTTTTGTTAAGGTAAAAAAAATAGAGACATGCTGATTAATTTTATTTGAATTTTTTTAAGAATTTTTGCATTTTCCAGGAAAACATTCTATTCTAAAAAATGGAATAAAATTCATTATTCTTAGTCTACTGCAATTTAGGTTCAATTGGTAGGTTTTTTTGAAGGTATTTTGAAGGTACAAAAGGTAAAAAAATAATAGAGACATGCTGATTAATTTTATTTGAATTTTTTAAGAATTTTTGCATTTTCCAGGAAAACATTCTATTCTAAAAAATGGAATAAAATTCATTATTCTTAGTTTATTGCAATTTAGGTTCAATTGGTAGGTTTTTTTGAAGGTATTTTGAAGGTACAGAAGGTAAAAAAATAATAGAGACATGCTGATTAATTTTATTTGAATTTTTTAAGAATTTTTGCATTTTCCAGGAAAACATTCTATTCTAAAAAATGGAATAAAATTGATTATTCATAGTTTATTGCAATTTAGGTTCAATTGGTAGGTTTTTTTGAAGGTTATTACGTGTTTTGTTAAGGTAAAAAAAATAGAGACATGCTGATTAATTTTATTTGAATTTTTTTAAGAATTTTTGCATTTTCCAGGAAAACATTCTATTCTAAAAAATGGAATAAAATTCATTATTCTTAGTCTACTGCAATTTAGGTTCAATTGGTAGGTTTTTTTGAAGGTATTTTGAAGGTACAAAAGGTAAAAAAATAATAGAGACATGCTGATTAATTTTATTTGAATTTTTTAAGAATTTTTGCATTTTCCAGGAAAACATTCTATTCTAAAAAATGGAATAAAATTCATTATTCTTAGTTTATTGCAATTTAGGTTCAATTGGTAGGTTTTTTTGAAGGTATTTTGAAGGTACAAAAGGTAAAAAAATAATAGAGACATGCTGATTAATTTTATTTGAATTTTTTAAGAATTTTTGCATTTTCCAGGAAAACATTCTATTCTAAAAAATGGAATAAAATTGATTATTCATAGTTTATTGCAATTTAGGTTCAATTGGTAGGTTTTTTTGAAGGTTATTACGTGTTTTGTTAAGGTAAAAAAAATAGAGACATGCTGATTAATTTTATTTGAATTTTTTTAAGAATTTTTGCATTTTCCAGGAAAACATTCTATTCTAAAAAATGGAATAAAATTCATTATTCTTAGTCTACTGCAATTTAGGTTCAATTGGTAGGTTTTTTTGAAGGTATTTTGAGGGTACAAAAGGTAAAAAAATAATAGAGACATGCTGATTAATTTTATTTGAATTTTTTAAGAATTTTTGCATTTTCCAGGAAAACATTCTATTCTAAAAAATGGAATAAAATTCATTATTCTTAGTTTATTGCAATTTAGGTTCAATTGGTAGGTTTTTTTGAAGGTATTTTGAAGGTACAAAAGGTAAAAAAATAATAGAGACATGCTGATTAATTTTATTTGAATTTTTTAAGAATTTTTACATTTTCCAGGAAAACATTCTATTCTAAAAAATGGAATAAAATTGATTATTCATAGTTTATTGCAATTTAGGTTCAATTGGTAGGTTTTTTTGAAGGTTATTACGTGTTTTGTTAAGGTAAAAAAAATAGAGACATGCTGATTAATTTTATTTGAATTTTTTTAAGAATTTTTGCATTTTCCAGGAAAACATTCTATTCTAAAAAATGGAATAAAATTCATTATTCTTAGTCTACTGCAATTTAGGTTCAATTGGTAGGTTTTTTTGAAGGTATTTTGAGGGTACAAAAGGTAAAAAAATAATAGAGACATGCTGATTAATTTTATTTGAATTTTTTAAGAATTTTTGCATTTTCCAGGAAAACATTCTATTCTAAAAAATGGAATAAAATTCATTATTCTTAGTTTATTGCAATTTAGGTTCAATTGGTAGGTTTTTTTGAAGGTTATTACGTGTTTTGTTAAGGTAAAAAAAATAGAGACATGCTGATTAATTTTATTTGAATTTTTTTAAGAATTTTTGCATTTTCCAGGAAAACATTCTATTCTAAAAAATGGAATAAAATTCATTATTCTTAGTCTACTGCAATTTAGGTTCAATTGGTAGGTTTTTTTGAAGGTATTTTGAAGGTACAAAAGGTAAAAAAATAATAGAGACATGCTGATTAATTTTATTTGAATTTTTTAAGAATTTTTGCATTTTCCAGGAAAACATTCTATTCTAAAAAATGGAATAAAATTCATTATTCTTAGTTTATTGCAATTTAGGTTCAATTGGTAGGTTTTTTTGAAGGTATTTTGAAGGTACAGAAGGTAAAAAAATAATAGAGACATGCTGATTAATTTTATTTGAATTTTTTAAGAATTTTTGCATTTTCCAGGAAAACATTCTATTCTAAAAAATGGAATAAAATTGATTATTCATAGTTTATTGCAATTTAGGTTCAATTGGTAGGTTTTTTTGAAGGTTATTACGTGTTTTGTTAAGGTAAAAAAAATAGAGACATGCTGATTAATTTTATTTGAATTTTTTTAAGAATTTTTGCATTTTCCAGGAAAACATTCTATTCTAAAAAATGGAATAAAATTCATTATTCTTAGTCTACTGCAATTTAGGTTCAATTGGTAGGTTTTTTTGAAGGTATTTTGAAGGTACAAAAGGTAAAAAAATAATAGAGACATGCTGATTAATTTTATTTGAATTTTTTAAGAATTTTTGCATTTTCCAGGAAAACATTCTATTCTAAAAAATGGAATAAAATTCATTATTCTTAGTTTATTGCAATTTAGGTTCAATTGGTAGGTTTTTTTGAAGGTATTTTGAAGGTACAAAAGGTAAAAAAATAATAGAGACATGCTGATTAATTTTATTTGAATTTTTTAAGAATTTTTGCATTTTCCAGGAAAACATTCTATTCTAAAAAATGGAATAAAATTGATTATTCATAGTTTATTGCAATTTAGGTTCAATTGATAGGTTTTTTTGAAGGTTATTACGTGTTTTGTTAAGGTAAAAAAAATAGAGACATGCTGATTAATTTTATTTGAATTTTTTTAAGAATTTTTGCATTTTCCAGGAAAACATTCTATTCTAAAAAATGGAATAAAATTCATTATTCTTAGTCTACTGCAATTTAGGTTCAATTGGTAGGTTTTTTTGAAGGTATTTT